GAGAAGGAGGAAAAAGAGGAGGAGGAGGAGGAAAAAGAGGAGGAGGAAAAAGGAGGAAGAGGAGGAGGAGGAAAAAGAGGAGGAGGAAAAAGGAGGAAGAGGAGGAGGAGGAGGAGAAAGAGGTGGAGGAAGAGGAGGAGGAGGAAGAGGAGGAGGAGGAGGAAGAGGAGGAGGGGGAGGAAGAGGAGGAGGGGGAGGAAGAGGAGGAAGACGAGGAGGAGGAAGAGGAGGAGGAGGAAGACGAGGAGGAGGAGGAAGACAGGAAGAGGAGGAGGAGGAAGACAGGAAGAGGAAGAGGAGGAGAAAGAGGAGGAGGAAGAGGAGGAGGAGGAGGAAGAGGAGGAGGGGGAGGAAGAGGAGGAAGACGAGGAGGAGGAAGAGGAGGAGGAGGAAGACGAGGAGGAGGAGGAAGACAGGAAGAGGAGGAGGAGGAAGACAGGAAGAGGAAGAGGAGGAGAAAGAGGAGGAGGAAGAGGAGGAGGAGGAGGAAGACAGGAAGAGGAGGAGGAGGAGGAAGAGGAGGAGGAGGAGGCAGAGGAGGAGGAAGAGGAGGAGGAGGAGAAAAAGGAGGAGGAAGAGGAGGAGGAGGAGGAAGAGGAGGAGGAGGAGGCGGAGGAGGAGGAAGAGGAGGGGGAGGCCGTGCCCACACTCATGGCACACGCCACCATGGAGCTTTCAGTCTGGGTCTAAGCACATCCACCCGCCCTTCCTCACTGTATTCTCCCAGGGACCCCTAGCTACCCACAGGCTTGGCCTGCATCTGCACAGAGGGACTGGGCCCTTGGTGGAGGCCCTGGCTGGCCCCATCTTGGGTCCTGGCCCAATGCTGTGGCTGCCAGCCTGCCCTCAGAGCTTCAGGAACCGGGGGCCCAGGCTCTGAGTGGAGTCCGGGTGGTCCTGGGCAGCCGTGGCAGGAGAGGCTCCTTCCTGATGAGGCTCTGCGGGCTGAAAGTGTCAGTTCCTCTATTAGCCCCTGTAGGGAGGTGTCCAAGTCGACAGGAAGTTCCGGAGGTGATTTTGGGTCCAAGTCTGTGGCTTTCTCCCGGCAGCCCGGCTTTACCGTGGCTGTCCCTGTCCGTTGGCCGATGTGCTGACATTCCAGGACTCCGGAGTGTCCACACGTCCATGGCGGGAAAAGCCTTCTGCAGACCGGCTACCACTGCCCTGCGGCTCGGGATCACACTCCTGAAGCCCAGAGTCCTGCCCTGGGAGCAGGTGTCAACCAGAACTCACTCCCAGGAAGAGTGAGGGGCAGTGCCTCCAGGCCGGGATGCCAGCTAGCAGCGCTCTCCAGGAAAGCTGGAGGAAGCACCTCATTTGTGCCAATCTCACTGGTTTGTCATCATGATTCTTCACAGTGAAGAAAAACGCAGAGCCTCTGACTTCCTGGGGCATGGCAGGGCTCCCTCTGACCTGAGCAGTGGCTCCTCCGAGGTCACCAGACTGTCCTACATACACCCAGGTTGTGCCTGCTGCTTCCTCTGTGGTGCAGGCGGAGGTTTCCTGGGCTAACCCATCACTGATAATCTCATCGTGGGTATTCTCATCACCTACAACTTCATCCTTGATACTTTCTTTTTTTTTTAAGATAGGGTTTCACCATGATGGCCAGGCCGGTCTTGAACTCCTGACCTCAGGTGATCCACCCACCTCGGCCTCCCAAAGTGCTGGGATTACAGGCGTGAGCCACCGCGCCCAGCAGATACATTTTTTTTTTAAAGGAGTCTCGCTCTGTCGTCCAGGCTGGAGTGCAGTGGCGTGATCTCAGCTCATTGCAACCTCTGTCTCCCAGTTTCAAGCAATTCCCCTGCCTCAACCTCCTGAGTAGCTCGGATTACAGGTGCCCACCACAGCACCCAGCTAACTTCTGTGTTTTAGTAGAGATGGGGTTTCACCACGTTGGCCTGGGTATTCCTGAACTCCTGGCCTAAAGTGATCTGCCTACCTCAGCCTCCCAAAGTGCTAGGATTGCAGGCATAAGCTGCCACACCCAGCCAGTTGACAAATTACTTTAATTTTAATTAATTAATGTTTTGAGATCGGGTCTTGCTTTGTCACCCAGGCTAGAGTATAGTGGTTCAACCACGGCTCACTGCAGCCTCGACCTCCCTGGGCTCGGCTGATCCTCCCACTTCAGCCTCCTGAGTAGCTGGGATCCCAGGCACACGCCACCACACCCAGCTAATTTTTGCATTTTTATTAATCTTTACTTTTTAAATTAAAAATATTTTTTATTTTTAATTTTAAAGAGACAGGGTTTCACCATGATGGCCAGGCTGGTCAGATGATCCACCCATCTCGGCCTCCCAAAGTGCTAGGATTACAGGCGTGAGCCACCGTGCCCGGCCGGCATAAACTCTTAATTCATGCCTTTTCTACCTGGGCCAAGGTGGACTGCTGACCACCTTCAGCCTGGATGGAGCCTGGCCCTCCTCGGGTCGCCAAGCTTTGCCGGTGCTCCTGGCCTGTGTGGGGCCTGCTGAGGGCCAGGGCAGCAGGAGTGCACTGTGTCTGGGGCTGAGTGGGCTGAGCAGGACTTGTGGTGCCTGGGCCTTTGAGCCTGGTGACACCTGTGTGGGCCGATGCCAGTTCCTTCCATGCAGCACCCCTGTGTTTGCAGCTGGTCTGGGGGTGGCCGCTTCTCTGTTGAAGGTCTGCCCTTTGAAGGCTCCAGTCTTCATGCCTGTGGCTTCCCCCAGGCCCCAGCCCGGCCTGAGAACGCAGGCTTATCCCTCTCCCTTGAGGCTGTGGTTGTCCCAGCAGTGGGCCTATCCTTGCCGGGGTGCTGAATGTACCCTGAAGGGTGTCACCCAGCGAAGAGGGTCGGGGCACTCGGAAGGCCCAGAGGAAGCAGGGTGTGGAGTGGCCTGGAGCTGCAGCCCCTCCCCACTACGGCCAGGCCCGCCAGGAGGAAGCCCTGCCCCTTGCAGGCTTGGGCTAATGAGGCCAAACCAAGTCCTAATCCCGAGAGGCTGGGTCAGGAGGAGTGGTGTGCACAGGCACCTGAGGTCCCCGGCTGCATGTGAGGGCGTCCCTCAAAAGGACTCCTCAGGCGCTGGAGCTTGCTCCCTGCATGGCCAGCTGCAGCCCGGGGCATAAGGGGAACTCAGACGGCAAGGCCCAGAAGGACATGGCCAAGTCCATGTGGGGGGAGCCGGGGGACAGTGGGGAGTTGGGGGGACAGTGGGGAGTGGGGGGGACAGTGGGGAGTGGGAGGGACAGTGGGGAGTGGGAGGGGACAGTGGGGAGTGTGGGGGGACAGTGGGGAGTGGGAGGGGCAGTGGGGAGTGGGAGGGACTGGGGAGTGGGAGGGACAGTGAAGAATGGGCGACAGCGGGTAGTGGGAGGGACAGTGGGGAGTGGGAGGGACAGTGGGAGTGGGGGGGACAGTGGGGAGTGGGGGGGACAGTGGGGAGTGGGAGGGGCAGTGGGGAGTGGGAGGGGACAGTGGGGAGTGTGGGGGGACAGTGGGGAGTGGGAGGGGCAGTGGGGAGTGGGAGGGACTGGGGAGTGGGAGGGACAGTGAAGAATGGGCGACAGCGGGTAGTGGGAGGGACAGTGGGGAGTGGGAGGGACAGTGGGAGTGGGGGGGACAGTGGGGAGTGGGGGGGACAGTGGGGAGTGGGAGGGGCAGTGGGGAGTGGGGGGACAGTGAAGAATGGGGGACAGCAGGGAGTGGGAGGGACAGTGGGGAGTGGGAGGGACAGTGGGGAGTGGGGGGGACAGTGGGGAGTGGGAGGGGCAGTGGGGAGTGGGAGGGGCAGTGGGGAGTGGGGGGACAGTGAAGAATGGGGGACAGCAGGGAGTGGGAGGGACAGTGGGGAGTGGGAGGGACAGTGGGGAGTGGGGGGACAGTGAAGAATGGGGGACAGCAGGGAGTGCGGGGGACAGTGGGGAGAGTGGGGGGAGGACAGTGGAAGAGGGAGGCAGGGGTGACAGTTGGGAGAGGACAGTGGGGAGGGAGACAGGGAAGCAGTCCAGCCTGCCCTGGCAGGGTCTGGGGAAAGAAGTCCCTGCCTTTGCGTGCCCAGGGCCTGGGCCTCCCTGGGGCTGGCTGGTTAAGAGTCTGCACATCCCCAGTGCTGAAGTTTCTCAATGTCAGTCTTGCAAGGTGAGCCCACACTCCGCTGGCGCAATGCAGGGGACCCAGGGGTCCTCCCTGGGAAAAGTGCGCTGTGCCCTGGGGTTCAAGGCAGGCCCCTCTCCCGAGTTCAGGCTGCACCTCTGGTCACTTAAGACAAGAAGATGCAGAGAGGAGGCCTCTGGGTTCTTGGTCCCCCCTTCCCCACCGCACCCCTGCAGCATGGGCAGGGCTTGGTGACCTTCTTCGAGGTGCCTGGGCCTGGACGGCTATTCCAAAGCCACAGCTGCCCTCCCCACGTGGGTCACTCAGTCTTCAGAGCATCCAAGCTGTGGAGCCCAGTAGACAGAACCTGGTTCTTTACAAGAGGGGAGACTGAGGCACAAGCACAGTGCTACCTGGCTCGGGGTCCAGCAGACAGCCATCTCCCTTGTCTCCTGCACTAGGAATGGACCACCCCATCTGCCAGTCTTGATCGGAGCCTGGCTAGTGAGGGTTGACTGCACACCTACTATGTGCAGGGTGGCGTGGGGGGCGAGAGTTCCCTCCTCCTGTTCCACAGACCGGCAAGGTTCCCCTGAGCCCCGGGGCAGCGGGACCTTTGTCTGGAGGTGGGTGCAGGGAGGGTAGGGTCTCCAAGGGGAGACCGTGGGCTGTGGACTTGTGAGTGGGCACTTCTCTGCGGCGGCCCTCCTGTGCCCAGTACGATGCTAACAGCGTTGCGGCTTTCACCTGAGGGAGCCCAGGAGCAGCCCCCAGCTAATGCTTCCAGACCTGGCCCCGTGTCCCCTGGGACAGAACGGCCCGGTGTAGGGCAGAGGCCCCTGAGCAGGAGTGGCACCTGTTCCTGCCCAGACCACAGGCAGCTGAGCTGACCGTGCCCAAGACTCCCTGCACCCACTGAAGCCACAGGACACAGTCACGGTTTGCATCTTACTCTCTCTCTTAAGTTGAGTTTCTGGAGGTGGCTGCCAGGACACGCATCCAGCCTGTCCGCAGCGCAGGAGAGAAAGGGGAAGCTGACGTCTTGGGCAGTGTTACAGGGTGGGTCTTACAGACGCCGCGTGCAGGCTGCGGGGACCAGCAGGGGGGTGAGACACGGGCACCCACCCACAGAGGGCATGGCCTTGGATGCACAGTGCTGACAGCAGCCTCCAAAGTGTCCCTTGAGCCCCGGGCACGACGGGCAGAAGCTGCTGGGGCCCCTGGGGCAGCTGCAGCCTTCCTGCCTGTCCCCTGGTGAAGGAAAACCACCTCCAATGGGAAAAGCTGGAGCCAGACTCTGTCTCCCTGCGGGGGTGTCCCCGACCTGCCTGTGAGGTCAGCAGGCCCAGGGCATCTCCTGGGAGGCCTGAGTAGTGATGCATGACCCTCAGTCCTGGGGCTTAGGACCCCTGGGTGTCCCTGCAGGTCCATCCTGGAGTCACTTCTCAGTCACTGCAAACGGGACCACGCCCCACTTTCCACACCCAGGCAGCTCATCGTCCCTGCCAGTCACTGCCCGCTGACAGCAATTATTCTTTTACAAACACCATACATCTTCTGATGCTTCCATGCCAAAAGTGCGGGTGGAGCCCTGGTCACCTTCACTTAAAGGTCCGGGTGGGGGCTTTTTTTTGTAGAAAAACAATTGCTTGTGACAAGTACTGAAACCTCACTGTGATGATGAGTCCTCACTCCTTGTTTTGTTCTGAGTCAGAAGTGCAGGCCTCACACAGCTGTCAGTTCCAAGTGACCGGGGCTGTAACAGGCCCCGACTGACCCCGGGAATATCAGGTGACTCTGGGAAGGGAGGAGGAGGGGCATCGGCCCACAGCCCCAGGGCCGACACTGCATCCTGAGGGTCAGGCCAGGTGTCCATCCCATCTCCCTGGGGCAAGTGCACCCCGGGTCACCTGGCAGCGTCCTTTCCAGCCCTCCTGGAGACAGTCAGTGGCTGATTCATTCCGGGGACCAGTGTGGAAGGCGCTGGGACGGGTCAGGGCCCAGGGTCGCACCCCTCAGCACTGGCCCACGCCGTCTCTGGCCCCCCTCGGGACTGTTGGTGTCTGAGGAGCCTGGTGCTGGGGTCAGAGGTCTTCATCAGGATCCTGAGACCCTCAGGGTTGAGCAAAATGGGGCTGCTGAGGGTGGTGAAGGTAGGGGGAGCCACCCCAAGCTTTGGGGATCACTGCTGCAGTGGGAAGGAGGATCATGGCTGCCAAGTGACACCCTCTCCATGCACCTAACCGCTGCTCAGGACTCTGGGGACCACGTTGCCAGGCCTGCACCTGCTGGACATGGGCACCTCCAACCCTGCTGGGCTGTGCCCGGGGCTGTTCCTTTCTCACTGCAGGCCCCAGGCAGAGCCCCGGCAGCCTCTGCTGCTGGCCTAGCACGGCCCTGGCACAGCCCTTCTTCTGGCAAACTCCACCTGTGCCTCTTCTGAAGGCGGCTCAGCTTTTCACCAGGCCAGGGAGTGTGGCAGAAGCCAGCGATGCCCTCCAGGGCTCCTCAGTGTGGACGGCTGCCCATGCTGGTAGACATGCACTGGCGTGGGTCCTGTGGCCTCCGGGTGGGAGGCAGGTCAGGAACGTCCAGGGCAGAAGAGGTCCTTTGCCTGGGTCTCCCGCTAACACCCTCAAGAGACCCCAGCAGCACCGAGGCTGTCCTGGAAGAGGGGATGTCCGGTCCTCCTTTTCAACCAAACACCTTTCCTTCAGTCTCAGGGTCCCGCATCTCATGGGAAGGCACGTGTCCCCAATGGGTCTGGGTGCTGGGAAGAGCCTGGTGCCGAATCCTGCCTGCTCCGAGTGGAGAGGAGCCCATCACCAGGCCCTTCCTGTGGGTGACTGCCAGTGACGGTGGCGAGCCCACTCACCTGGGGACATTTGCCTTTGGTGCGGATGACACTTCTGGGCGGTGAGCTCGGGCAAACATGGCCTTAGAAGGGAAGAAGAGAGAGGACGTGAAACACCCCTTTCCCTCTGCAGACAGAAGCTGGTTTTCTCAGGACTCAACTTGGTGGAAAGAAAAGCTTTAGAGCTTTGGAGCCAGCACAGGGCGCCCGTCTGGCTCTGGTGGGAACAGGCTGGCTAGGTTTTTAGCAAGCTGTGTTCCAGCGTGATCTGGAACGGGCTGACCTGACCTTGGAAGTGTGTATTCTGCAGTCGACCATCAGCTTGCCTGGTCCACAGGTGACCCGTGGTGGCTGCGCACTCCATGAGCCCACCATCCCAGGGAAGCCGCTTCTCATGGGTGAAAAACAGGGCTCAGAGGGTGTCCCGAACCATGGTTGGGAGCCCAGCTGTCCTGCCTACGAAGCCCAGTGCCCCTTGCAGCCAGAGGCACCCGCCAGGTGCGTGATGGTGTGTGGACATTTTCCCCAAATTGGGACAGGAATCCGAATCTGTGTTGCTCCCGGGACTGTGGGGGGCACACCTCGCCCAGGGACAGGGAGCCACCTGAGCTGCAGGAGCGACTGGCGCAGAGAGAAGTTGGCAGTGCCTGGATCCCCTCTGGACACCCCCGTGGGGGCTGGGCACCAGGGAGGACAGGGCTCCAGCACGTGTCTCTGCTCCCGTGCATGCTGGGAAAAATCCCACTGCAGTGTGGGAAAGCACACACCAGGATGCTAGCCCACGCCAAGGGAAATGCCGCGTGCGCCACCGGGGCTTCTCCACGTTTCCGGAGCGACTGTGGTTCAAGGCAAAGGACTTCTGCCTTTTGAAAAGTTTTTGAAAATCTGAAAGATAGTTATCAGCCAAACCTCCCTTGGGCCCCCCAGAACCTGCTGCTTCCCACGGCAAACTCACCAGTGAGCTCTGGCTCCGGCCTCGCGGCCCAGACACCTGGGGGACAAACCGAAAGGGTCAGGGCAGCAGCGGTGGGGGTGTCCCTAAAGCCCCTGGTGCTCCTGAGCTCTCAGCAGCCCCTGAACGCCCAGCTCGGAAGACTCCCAGAGGCCGCAGCTCCAGGCAGGGAAAGCACTGACAGCCGATGGGCTCCCAGCCACAAGGCTTCTGAGGAAGATTCTCTGTAAGGGAAAGTGGCTGGGAAGCACTTCGGATGCTGTGACCTGGCTCTGGGGCCCTTCCACAGCCTAGCCAGCCCCATGGAAGATGTTTCCGGGATGATGGGGATTGGCCACAAAAGGGAGAGCCGGGGCAGCGCACAGGAGCTGCCTCTACTCCATGGCCATCATGCCTGCATTCCAGTGACCGCCACCCTTGAGGGGGTCTGGACAAGCCCCCTACCCGGCCATCACCATGGCCAGCGTCCAGGGCTTCCCGCTCCACGGCGTTCTGCTGCTGTGTCTTACGTGCCTGAAACACAGACCTCTGGGCTCTGTCTCGGAGCTGGCCGGAGTCACGGACCCACAGCATGGGGGTGCTCCAGGTGGCCTCAGAGGCTCCCCTGGAAATGGACACCACCCTGGCCTTGACACGCAGGAGCCACCCTTCCCACCCGACCTGCGGGGCTGGCTTCGCAGCGCCTTTCTGGCTTGGCTGTGTAGGGAATGTCAGGGATGCAGGGTTTGAAATCCACTGGGGACCGGGCTCGGTGGCTCAAGCCTGTAGTCCCAGCACTTTGGGAGGCCGAGGCGGGTGGATCATGAGGTCATGAGATCGAGACCATCCTGGTCAACATGGTGAAACCCCGTCTCTTCTAAAAATACAGAAAATTAGCTGGGCACTGTGGCGTGTGCCTGTAATCCCAGCTACTCGGGAGGCTGAGGCAGGAGAATTGCCTGAACCCAGGAGGCGGAGGTTGCGGTGAGCCGAGATCGCGCCATTGCACTCCAGCCTGGGTAACAAGAGCGAAACTCCGTCTCAAAAAAAAAAAAGAAATCCACTGGGAGTTTGGGTTACTCAGGCTCATGCATGTCAATGCTGCCACAGCGAAGTTTCAAGCGAAATCACTATCAGTGAGGGACGTGAAATCAGGCAACCGTTCGCACCAACAGGACAAACGTTAACGTCCACAACATGGGTCCGTCTCTACCTGCATAGCCGCGGCAGGGCCTTCTGCACCTGTACACCCACATTGCCAGGGCCACGAGCAGGCACGGGACAGCCAGGGCGCTCCACACCGCCACGTTCTTCGCCTCAGGGGTACTGTCTGTGTCCTTTGTGATGTTGTCTCTGCCTCCGATGTGATTTTCTACAAGAAAGAGGAAAATAATCCGACTTAAAGAATCTTGGGGCCGGGCACGGTGGCTCACGCCTGTAATCCCAGCACTTTGGGAGGCCGAGGTGGGTGGATCACGAGGTCAGGAGTTCGAGACCAGCCTGGTCAACAAGGTAAAACCCAGTCTCTACTAAAAATTCAAAAATTAGCCAGGCGTGGCGTGTATGTCTGTAGTCCCAGCTACTCAGGAGGCTGAGGCGGGAGAATCACTTAAACCTGGGAGGCAGAGGTTGTAGTGAGCTGAGATTGTGCCACTGCACTCCAGCCTGGGCAACAGAGCAAGACTCCTGTCTCAAAAAAAAAAAAAATCTTGGAAAGAAAGTGTCTTTGTTTTTCATCCTCGAGTACAAAGTACTGCCGGGAAGTATTTTCCTGACATGATTTTGAGGTTTTAAGGTAACAGGCTGAGGAGAGGAGGGTTTTCTCTTGCAGAGGGGCTTCATTTCCTGCAGGGGTCCTGTTCCTCCCCGTCCTGCCTAGGAGAGGTAATAACCCCGACCACAGCCAGAGGACCACAAGGCCGGGTGTGGCAGGAAGCACAGGTTCTTCCAGGATTTTTTTTTTTTTTTTGAGACGGAGTTTTGCTCGTTGCCCAGGCTGGAGTGCAATGGCACAATCTCGGCTCAACATAACCTCCACCTCCCGGGTTCAAGCGATTCTCCTGCCTCCACCTCCTGAGTAGCTGGGATTACAGACACCCACCACCATGCCTGGCTAATTTTGTATTTTTAGTAGAGATGGGGTTTCTCCAAGTTGGTCAGGCTGGTCTCAAACTCGCAACCTCAGGTGATCTGCCTGCCTCGGCCTCCCAAAGTGCTGGGATTACAGGCATGAGCCACCTCACCTGGCTGGATTTTTAAAAATCAAGGTGAAAGTCACCGAACATAACATGAACCATTTTATGTTATTTATTTAGTTTTTGAGACAGGATCTTGCTCTGCCGCCCAGGCTGGAGTGCAGTGGCACGAACCTGACTCACTGCAACCTCGACCTTCCGGCTCAATTAATCCTTTCACCTCGGCCTCCCATGTAGCTGGGACTACAGGCTGGCACCACCAGGCCTGATTTTTTTTTTTTTTTTTTGTAGAGATGAGATCTCACTATGTTGCCGTGGTTGGTCTCAGGGCTCAAGGGAGCCTCTTGCCTCAGCCTCCTAAGTGGCTGCGACTACAGGTGTGCACCAGGTGCCTCGCCAAAAAGAACCACTTTATGCCTTTTTTTTTTTTTTTTGAGATGGAGTCTCGCTCTCTCGCCCAGGCTGGAGTGCAGTGGTGGGATCTCGGCTCACTGCAGCCTCTGCTTACCAGATTCCCGTGATTCTCCTGCCTCAGCCTCCCGGGTAGCTGGGACTACAGGCACGCACCACCATGCCCGGCTAATTTTTGTATTTATAGTACAGACAGGTTTTCACCATGTTGTGCGGGCTGGTCTCAAACTCTTGACCTCAGGTGATCCACCTGCCTCAGACTCCCAAAGTGCTAGGATTACAGGCATGAGCCACCGTGCCCAGCCCAAAATGAACCACTTTAAAGTGTACAATTCAGGGTGCCAGTGCGATCATAACCACCACGTAATTCCAGACCCCACTTTATTACCCCCAAGGCAACCTTGTGCCCACGTGCAGCCTCTTCCCTGCCCTCCGCTGTCCTGGGGCAGTGCATCAGGGAGCATGGCTGTGTCCAGTTCAGAGGGACCTCGAGCCTCTGTGCCAGAAGCGGGAAGGGCCAGATCCAAATGAGGGGGTCCCAGAGCAGCCAGGACCCCTAATTTTTCTCTTAAATTTTGTTCTCATTTAGTGCTTTATAGCACTCCCTTCAAATTTCACGTTTAAAATGCTAGTCTGGGTGCGGTGGCTCATGTCTGTAATCCCAGCTGAGGAGGCTTGGCAGGAGCATCACTTGTGTCCAGGAGTTTGAGACCAGCCTGGGCAACACAGTGAGACCCCATCTCTACAGAGAATCAAAACTTAGCCAGGTGAGGTGGCACATGCCTGTGGTCCCAGACACTCAGGAGGCTGAGGTAGGAGAATTGCTGTCCTCCCACCCCTGGAAGCCTCTAGTTTGCTTTCTGTCTCTGCGGCTGGCCCTATTCTGGAGACTCTGTATAAACGGTGCCCCACAGGCTTGTCCTCAGGTGTCTGGCTCTGTCACTGGCATAACGGCCTTGAGGTTCTCCACGCCGCAGCCTGCGTCAGGACAGAGGCTGGTTCTCCCGCACACAGAGATCATGTTTGGTGCATCCGTCCATCCACGAGGAACACTCGGGCGTGTCCACCTTCGGCTGCCATGAACCTTCCTGGAGAGGCATTTGTTTGAACTCCTGTTTTGAACCCTCTTGGCCATATCCCCAGGAGAGAACGCTGACTCCTCCAGTACTTCCAGGCTTAGCTTTTCTTTTCCTTTTTTTTTGAGGAGTTTCACTCTGGAGTACAGTGGTACGATCTCGGCTCACTGCAACCTCCGCCTCCCGGGTTCAAGCGATTCTCCTGCCTCCGCCTCCCGAGTAGCTGGGATGACAGGTGTGCCCCACCACACCTGGCTAATTTTGTATTTTTAGTAGAGATGGGGTTTCTCCATGTTGGCCAGGCTGGTCTTGAACTCCTCACCTCAAGTCATCCGCCTGCCTCAGCCTCTCAAAGTGCTGGGATTACAGGTGTGACCTCCGCGGCCAGCCCACGCTTAGCTCTTCGAGGAACTGCTGTGTCATGCCCTTGGCAGCCGCACCCTTCTGCCTTTCCACTGTGAGGCAGAGACAAATGCCTCCGGGCTCTGTGTCAATGCCTTTGCCCCTCAGAGAGCCCCTCGCAGGCAAACAAGCAGCAGCATCCCCCCAGGAGCTGGTTCCGAATGTCCGGTGTGTCCCCATGCACACCTGGAGAGATCACCTGGGCAATACTCAACCCTGAACCTCTGAAGCTTTTACACTGTCCTGAGGCCCAGTGCCTGCCCAGAGCTCCAGGTCCAATGGGTCTGGGCACGGGGCTTTCACAGGCTGCCCAGATGACTCCACTGTGTGACCGGGCTTGAGACGATGGCCCTGGGAGAATCTTCTGCTACCCCTCAGGCTGCTCTGGGGGGCGTATACGACCTGGAAGGCACTTATCAGAGGCTGCTTTGGGGGCAGCCCCATCCTGCTGCATGCAGCTCACACTCTGAACGTGAGTCACAGGGCTGAAGCCCCAGTTTCAAGAAGGAGAACGTCGGGCTCTGCAGAGGGTCCTGGCGGTCAGGGTGGACTTCCAGGGTGTGCACCTGGGCAGGCTTCCGGGGTTGAGCGCAGAAAGACCGGCAGCTGGTGTGATGCCTGCGGTCACTGTCTGGAATTCTCAAAGCTTCTGAAACAAGGAGCCCTGCACTCTTTTTTTCTGAGATGGAGTCTTGCTCTGTCATCCAGGCTGGAGTGCAATGGCGCGACCTCAGCTCACTGCAACCTCCGCCTCCCGGGTTCAAGCACTTCTCTCCCTCAGCCTCCTAAGTTGCTGGGGTGACAGGCACCCACTACCATGTCCAGCTAATTTTTGTATTTTTAGTAGAGATGGGGTTTCATCACGTTGACCAGGCTGGTCTTGAACTTCTGACCTCGTGATCCACCCGCTTTGGTCACCACACCTGGCCAAGCCCTGCATTCCTGCTTTGCACTGGGCCGCATGGTGCGTTTTGCTGGCAGCCCCTTTCCTGCAGCCAGCAGGGCCCCAGGTCCCCTCCTCGATCATCTCCTGCCTCCTCCTTCTGCCTCTTATCCTGACACAGGAGACGGAGACACAAATGGGGCGGGCCTGTGACCTCCCCGAAGATGTCCCCGCCTGCACGCCTTCCGCAGGGAGGAGCTGAGCCAGCAGCCGTGCCAGTGGGATTTCCGGGTCTGGGAGCTTCAGTCTTCTCAAGAGGCAGGGAGCTGGGGCGGGGGCTGCACAGGGGTGGGCTTCCGTCCCGGGCTGCTGCCGAGTCCCGTGGCTTCTGAAGTGTTACCATCCTCAGAGTTCAGCCCTCAGCTGTAAAGCAGGTTCAGTGAAAACTCAGGCAAAGGAAACTGAGCCACGTGCGCGGGCCCGGCGCCATTCCTGTTCCCGGACACCGCGGTGGTCCTCGCTGCGTGACGTGTGCCTCTCTCCTCCTCTCCCGTTCACCACCTTTCGGTGTCCTGCTGTGTCCGTCGAAGGGACTGTCCTTCTCCTGCCTCAGAGGGTCTCCCAAGCCAGCCCTGGCCCCACTGTCTTGGGCGCGGGCGCACGCAGACCCTGGGAGCTTACCTGTCTGGCTGCCCACAGTCAGGTTCTGCTGCAGAAGCGCGTTCTCGATGCAGCAGCCGATGTTCACGCTGGGCGTCGCCGCGATCCTCAGCACGCTGACCACGTTGTACAAGCCCTGCGCGTTCAGCACGATGGTGTCATTCTGCAGAGCCTGGTCCAGCAGGCTGTTGTCCGTCTTGTTGATCCAGTATACCCTGGGCCTCGGGTAGCCGTTCACAGACATACACGTGAAAGTGAGCTCATCCTGGGAGGGGCTGTGGGGCGCGCTGACGACCGGCATGCTGAAGTTTGCTGCGGGGGAGGGAAACAGGTGGTGAGAGATGCCAGGCCCTGCCAGTCAAGAAACAGGGCACACAGTGCCAAGGCCGGGTCATTGGGGAGGCAGCCCACTGTGGCCCGACATGGCCAGGACCGAGGCTGTGGTCTGGGGAGCCAGCTCGTCCCTGTCCTGCCTGGGAGTCATGCCCCAAGGCAGTCCCAGTGGCCAGGGACCGCTGAGCCTGGTGGGCATGACTGGCACCCACAGACCCCCATTCCATGGCGGGCGGCTGTTCCCGGACCCCCTTATCTGGATCTGGTTCATCTCGCTGCTGACACAGGGGCTCGCAGTCCATCTGAAATGGACACGGCTGTTCTCCCTGATGAAACGCCCAGAGCTCCTTGGTTGCCTCTAATTTTTCTCCTAAATTTTGTTCTCATTTAGTGCACTCCTTTCACGTTTCACTTTTAAAACTCTCGTTTGGGCACAGTGGCTCATGCCTATAATCCCAGCACTTTGGGAGGGTGAGGAAGGAGGATCACTTGTGTCCAGGAGTTTGAGACCAGCCTGGGCAACATAGTGAGACCCCATTTCTACAAATAATCGAAAACTAGCCGGGCGAGGTGGCAGGTGCCTGTAGTCCCAGATACTCCGGAGGCTGAGGCAGGAGAACTGCTTGAGCTCAGGAGGTCGAGGCTGCAGCGTGATCCCTGCTGTTGCGCTCCAGCCTGGCCAACAGTGAGACCCCGTCGCAAAAAATGAGCTAACTCAAAAAGGCAAAGACAGCAAGGCTAGGAGCTCTTCTGGGAAACCGAGCAGCCACAGGTCATGCATTAGGGATTTTTCAGCTTTTAGTCTCCCTTGAAGTTAGACAGAGGCCTGATAACACAGCTGAGAATTTTCTTCACTGGAAGAAACAGTGAATGAGCCGGGGAGGGGGTTTCTGTTTCATGACAGGAGGCCGGGCTGACCCAGCTCTCTCTGCCTCGACGGTCCTACCTGCCACATGCAGTGTGACCACAACTTCCAAGACTGTCTGGAATCCCAGGGATTTACTCAGCACCACGCAGCGAAACTTCTGCTCGTCGTCAGGGGTGACATTGAACAAGCGCAGGGAGAAGTCGCCGTGCAGCATCCCGGATGGCGACATCGCCGCCCGGTTCCTGTAGCGGCTGGCCACGGAGGAGGAGCTGTTCTGCGGGACGTGGTAAGCCACCACCGTGTCACTGATTTGCCAGTACACGTAAATGTCATTTAGATCAAAACGGCTTCCTTCGGGGGAAGCGCAGCTGAGCTCCACGTCGCTGCCTACCATCGCTCTGACTTCTTTCTCCTGAGTTTCTGCAATGACCAAAAGGTGCAAAATCTGTTTTCTGAGGCCGATGCCCAGGCCATGAAGCTGCTGTCTGGGGCACGCTTTGGGTTTCGAGCCTCCAATGCCAGCTGTGGCTCAGAATTCATTAACAAGGCACATGCAGGAATGCAGTGAAACTTGAAAGGCATGGGTATTTCACGGTGAGGTCCAACGTCAACACACCCCCATTAAGTGAGGGGCTGGGCTGCCCGGCAGGAGCAGCTGGATGGGCTCAGCACTGTTACTCAGCACTGTTTTCACTACTTTTGGGGAGTCTATAATTAATGCAGATTAAAACATTCTTTAAAAATCAGGCATTTAAGGGAAAACAATTTCTCAAGCATTACCTTATAATGCTGCTCCCTTCCATCAGGAAAGGTGTCATAAATGTAACAGGCACAGGGTGGCTTTACCGTTTACACAACCACGTAAACGCCTGTGGGAAAATCTGTGTGTGTCACCTGCCTCCAAAGCACTCTAGGCTGGAAGGCTTGGCAAGGCTTTGGGTCTGTGCTGCGGTGTCTTGCCCCTATTCCTGGCTCTTCTAGAGGCTGGTGGCTGTTAGGGCTCAGCAGGGCTGCTGCCCGGGACAGGGAGACCAGGGGACCCAGGAAGCCCTGGCTAGAGGAACTGCATTCTGCCCGCAAGAAACACGAAATCAAACAAGAACTCCAGAGTTTGCAGAAGGGTTTCCCTTTAAGGAAATGTTTCCATCCTGTGCAGCAACCTAGGTTAGGTACCAACTTTCTCCAAAGGGCCACTTGAGAAGCAAAAAGGAGGCTGGTGAGGCTGCTCCTGGCACCCTGCAGCTGGCAGTCCACATAGCCAGATAGCCCATCTCAGAGCTGGGTGCTCACACTGGTGGCAAAGCACCCCCTGAACTTACCGGCTCGAAGGCTGCTGAGGAGCAGGAAGAGTAGTCCAGGACTGGAAAAAACAACCAGAAACGCAGGTGAGGTGGGGCCGCAGGTGAGTTACCTGAATCTTCCAAACAGGAGCAGGCTGGTAGTTCCGTCCATCACAGAAATGTGAAGACAGGAGCCTGCCTGCCTCTCCTCTCCATGGGAATTTGGGGTCTGCAGCCAGGACCACCACCCCCTTGCCCAGCACCGCAAGTCCTAGGGGCTGGTAGCCTCTTGCCACTCTCTAGCTCTGGTGGTGACCAGAAACACAATGATGCCATGTGAGGATGAAGGAGAGCGAAGGACACCCCGAGGCTGGTCTAGACTTCCTGGGGACAAATTCCAAGAAATTGTAGGAAATCAGAGATAAAAAAGCTTTCAGGTCACATATAACAGGAGCTTCACTTAAAATGCTGGGGAGACAGAGAACATCAGGCAGGCCCATGACAGGGTGGGTCGGGTGAGTGATGGGACAGCCCTGTGGGTAATGCAGATCATTCTGAAACAAAACCTGGGCTTCTCCTGTTTCAGATCCTGCTTAGCTGGTGCCCTGCCTCAGGCAGCAAACCCCCCCGTGACTCCGGTGCTCCTGCCATCTTGGGTCGGGGAGCCTTGGCACCCTGTATGCCTCAGGCTCTCCACCTCCTCCTGCCAGCCCCAGGATGCCTTCCCCAGGTAGAGGCCCTTCGTGGCCTGCCCCAGTCCCCCAAACCATCAGTTTATGGGGCCAGCTTCCCACAAAGTGGGGGCCCCCAGAGCAGGGACACCTCCTTCTCTGATGTTGCTGCACCTCCAAGGTCTGGGAGCCATTCGTCCCTCTTCTGTCTGGCCTCTGCCTTGGAAACCTTGGGGGCTTCCTAAGTGAAAGGCTGGTCTGGTGGGAACCTCCCAGTGGCCTGTCCCTGAGCCCTGGAGCCACAGGAACCCTGGCCCCACCCACGATGGCCATCACCTGAGTCTGCCTGTGCCAAGTGAACACACATGCACCAAAGTGAGCCCCAGACCACCAGGGACTCTTGAAGCCTGCAGGCGGCCCTTCCTCTCTCTCCCATTCCCCCGTTGCGGTTGCCGTTCTGGCTGCAAGATGGTTGTGATGGCCTCCAGCAGGTCCCCTGCCTCCACCCAGGCCTCCGTGCCTCCAGCCTCAGCCCCTTCAGACATCTCCCAGGGCCACCTTCTAAACCACAGCTGTGAGAACTGCTCTCTGCCCCCATTTCTCTCCCACAGTGCCCAGGTTCCTCATCAGTTCACAAGGCCCATCCCATCTATGGAGGCCTCCTCAGGACATTGGGGGCTTTCTGGGCCAGGGGGAGCTGCTCCGAGCTCTTTCTGGCTTATCCCCTCCCTGGGTGCCGCCCACCCAGCGGCCTCTGTGTCTTCTCCCTGGGCCCTCAGCACCCCTGCATCTAACCTCCCTCGCCCGCAACCCTGAGTTTGTCTCAAGACCCATCACAGACAGGGTCACCTGCTTGAAGGTGCAAGTGATAGAGAGCTAAGACATGGGAGGGCTGTGACAGTCACAGACTTTTAAATTCGCTCTCTCTAGGGCAGGAGCATGACGGCATACATTTCTAATGAGGAGGGGTACTGAGCAGTGTGACCCAGGTGTAGACCAGTTCTGGGCTATGCGGGAGGCAGCTCCAGGGCCAGGGGCCTCACCAGTTCACCCAGGGGAGCACGGGCTGCGAACCCTAGGACCTGGGTTGCGAAGTGTATATTTTCACAAAAAGCCAGGAGGAAGCTGTCACTCCCGGTTTAGGCAGCCCCACCTTCCCAGTGCGGACCAGCTGCCTGGCTGCGGGGAATCCCACGTGTGTGGGGGAGGGCGTGTCGCCAGTCCGTGAGCACCCGGCTGGCCTTGGAGAAAGCCCGGCCAGTCACCTCCCTCCTTCACTCATCTTCTAGGAAATCAGTGGTGCCAGGGAGTGGAAGGGGCAGCGCCGGTACCCGGGCCTGCGGGGTGCGCCCCTTTCCCTCCCTCCTTCCAGCGACCGCGGTCCCCTTTCCCTGGCAGGCACCCCGCCCCCAGGCGGCCCCCGCACGGCTGCGCGTCCTCCCGTGGGTCCCGGTGCCGGCCTCCACAGCCCGCTGCCGTCCACGCCCCGCCGGCCGCCCGCTCTCCGGGTGCGCACTGCCCGCCGGACTCCTCCAAGCGAGATTCGCAGGCCCCGCGTCCGAGCCGAGCTGGGGACGCACCGGCCGAGCCACCCCGCCCCTGACCCGGCACCGCCGCTCCTTCCCCGGCTCACCTGCTCAGCCGCATGGCGCTGGCGGAGACCTCGGGCCACGGAGAACTTGGGCTGCGGGAGGCCTCGGGGAGCCGCAACCTCGGGGCACTGGAGACCGGTCTAACTGCGCTCCCGCTGCGCCCGAGCTCTGAGCGCCCAGCGCGCGGCGGGCGGGAGGCAGTAGTGTCCCCGCCCCGTCCCTGTCCCCGGTCTGCCCCGCCCCCGGCCCGTCCCTGCCCCCGACCTGGCTGCTCTCACTACCGAGGCCGCGCCGAGGCGTGGGGCGCGGCGGCTCCAGAAAGTTCAGCTCTGCCCAGGCGAGTGTGCCCGTCGGCCGGAGGTGGGACAGAGGCAGGTCGGGCCGTCCGCCTGCACGCGGACCTGGAGGCCTTGGTGCCCCGGGAAGCGCAGGGGTGGGAGATGCCCGGGAGGAAGGTGGCTAGGGGTGCTGCGGGGGCTGGCGCGGCGGGGGAGGGGACCGTGGGAGGCCAGGCGCAGAATGCCCGGGTCCTGGGGCCCTCCCTGAGGAGGGGTCCGGGGACCCAGGCCCCAAGGCCGCGCTGGGAGAGCGCCAAGCCCCCAGCCCGCTCCGCTCGGATGATCTCCAGGACTTGGGCGAGTGAACTCAGCGACTGCTGAGGAATGAGTGATTGACTGAATGAATGCATGAATGCGAGGAGGGAGGGAAGGTGGGCGGGCTCTACCCTCCGGGCCAGCCCCAGCCCACCCCCACCTGGCCTTCCTCCCTCAGCGGTCTAGAGGCGAGGGCGCTGGCGCAGCCTGTTTGCCTAACACTGGCACTGAGGAGCCGCAGCCGGGAAACCAAGGCAGCCTGCGGCTCGGGCTCTGAGCTCGTCAGCCTTGGCAGTGGCGTCTGGCCCGGAGTCTGGGGCAGCGGGTCTGGAAAAGGCCGCGCCACGCAGCCGAGGGTTGGACCCAGGGCCCCTGCTTTCCCCACAACCCCCCAGCCCAAAACTCTCCCTCCCTGATCCCCACAAGCCAGGTGACCCAAAGAGGCCCTGATTTCGGGTGGGGCCCCTGGTTTAGGGGTCTCAGGGTAAGGTAGGGCCCAGAGGGGACGTGACCCCCTTTCTGCAGAGGCGCCCCCGGAAGGGCCTGGCTGAGGCTGCTGGACAGGGCAGCGGGGCACCCTCCTCCCGGCGCCCCAGTCTGTGGTCTGCTTAGACCCCCACCGCTTCAGGCGCGCGGAGGAGGCCAGAGGCGCCGGGAGACGGGGCCCCGGACGGTACCCTGCAGGCTGTCATTCCTTCAGCCAAGAGGTAGAGAACGACGTGGACAAAAGCTTAAAACATACGGAAACCTCTCCCCGTGGAAGGAGCCGAGAGGCCAGGCACAAAACAAGAAGGCGGAAGAGAGAGCGGCGGGGGCGGGCGAGCAGGAAGCACCGAAGCCCGGCGACTTCCCCTCCCCCGCCAGGCTGAGAGATGGGGGTTGGGGGGTTTAAAGTCCTGCGCCTGGCAGAGGGCGGGTCGGGGGTCGCCAGCCCTACTGGCGGGAAGAGTTGAACTGGGCCCTCGGCGCGCAGGGCGGAGGCAGCGGCGTCCGCACCCGGGTGAGGTCGGGCGCGCAGCCCCGTCTGAGCGGGACTGTCTAGGGCGCGTCCCGTCCCTGGAGCCAGAAAACCCCTTTCAGCGCCAGCGTGGACGTGCGCTTCCCGGGACACGCTCAGGGACACCGGTTGGGACCCGCGAGGCTGGAGGGGTCGCGATGCTGGGGACCGAGGTTCCTCTCCCCAGGGCAGGTGGCTGCAGGGAGGGGACCGCGTCGTGCGGCAGGTGAGGAGGGAGCAGGTGCGCCGGGCGGGCTGCGGGCCGGGCCACCTCCTTCCGGAGGCCCTCCCTAATTGACGGGCCGGGCCCCGCGCGCCTCTGCGCCTGTGCCTGAGGTCCCGGGCTGCTTTTGCCGCCACGGTTGGAGAAGGGCTCCACCCCCGGGCTCACCTGAATCCCCTCCACCCGCGGGACTACGGGGAGGGGGACGGCCCCCGGATACCGCGAGGGGGTTGTGGGAGGATGGACTGGGTCTTGAGGGAGCAGAGCCTCCCAAATTAAGGTCTCCCAAGAGCGGGGCCACTTATCTGCGGCGGCGCAGGGAAGGTGCCCTCTCGGTGGGTCCAGACCCCGCGGACGCCCAGGGCCGCCCAGGGTCGGTGGGAGAGGGGCCGAGGGGGCAGGTCCAGGCTGTGCTTCCCGGGCAGACGCCAGAGACTCCAGCAAGCCAAGTGCTGCAGGCAGGCCCTCCGGAGAGGGGACGGCGTGGAGGGCACAGCCAGACAGGGGCCAGGAATGCAACTGGGTCAGAAGGGGACACTGAGGCAGGCCGGGGCGGCCCAGGAACCTCAGAGACAACGGTAAGCGGCGGCTGGTTCACACCCTCTCCTGCTAGCAGCGAGCTGTGTGACCTCAGCAGGTCAGCAGGTCCCTTCCTCCTGGGGCCTGCATCCCCCGTCCGTGACATGTACACGAACGTGGGTAGTTGTAAGTGAACGCGCAGCACACTGGTGCATGGTTACCACACGCAGAGGGTTTCAGATGAAAAAAACAGAAAACCCCTTGGGAATTTTCCTGTAGTCAAAGGAAGGTTTTAGTTTCCCGCCACCCGTGACTGTTTCTCGGGCAGGCAGGACGCGCTTTTGTTCCAGGAGTGTGGAGAGAAGGCCCTTTGGCGGTGTCCAGGGCCGGTTGGGAGCCAAGCAGGAATTGTATTTGTGCAGCCTAGGGTTCAAGACTCTGGGTGCCAGTCATAGAAGCAGGCAGCGGCTGCCCTATGCCCCTGGCCCCAGGGCGCCCTGCTCTGCCGTTTGGAGGGTGCGAGGGTCTTCTGAGCTCGGCCACGTGCGCCTCCAGGACCCGGTCACTTTGCAGTCTAGCACAGCAACCTGCGTTTGACAGCACAGGCCTTGGTTGATGCTGGGAGCTCAACTCCTGGCCGAGAGGAAGGGGGAAGATCTTTGCTCTTAGAGGGTGCGGCGTATGTTGTTTAACGAAAAGGATTCGTTCCTTCTGAGAAATGCGTCCTCGGGTGATTCTGTGTGAACACAGAGTGCATGCACACCGACCGAGCCTGGTGGCACAGCCCACTACGCCGGGGCCGTGTGTCACGCCTGCTGCTCCTGAACCACAAGCCTGTGCAGCAGGTGACTGCACTGAATAGCGTAGGCAGCTGGGACTCACTGGTATTTGTGTATCTAAACCCGTCTAAACATAGAACAGGTGCAGTAAAAATACCGAATTGTGACCTTATGGGAGCATCGTCGCATTGCGTGTTGGCAACGTTATGTGGTGCACGGCTGTAGGTTCGTTTCCTGTCTGCTCTGGAGCTAATGACCACATGCTTCCTGGCTCAAAACAACACAAAGCCTCTCTGGGCCCTGGAGGGTAGCAGCCCGAAATCTGCCTGGTGGAGGTGCTGGGGGTGCGTCCCCCGTGCCTCTCCTAGCTCCCAATGGCCCTGGGTGTCTCGGCGCTGGTGTCTGCAGCACTCCAGCCTCTGCCTCGGTGGCCACGTGGCTCCTCTGTGTGGTCCTCTCTTCAGAGGCCCTTTGGGATGACAGGTAGAAGCCACCTGGGTGACCTAGGGAGGCCCCCACCCCAATTTAATCCAGCCAGGAAAGTCCTTCCTTTGCCATATAGCATTCACAGGACCCGAGCATCTTTTGGGGGGTCGCTGTTCAGCTGAGCATGGGATCATGAGGCCGGTCCTATGTGTAAAACTGAAATACTTAGAGGGCCGGGCACAGTGGCTCACACCTGTAATCCCAACAGTTAGGGAGGCCAAGGTGGGAGGATCACTTGAGCCCAGGATTTTGAGATGGGCCTGGGCAATAGAGCAAGACCCCATCTCTATGAAATTTAAAAAATGAGCCGGGCATGGTGGCACGTACCTGTAGTCCCAGCTACTCCAGAGGCTGAGGCTGGGGGACACTGGAGCCCAGGAGTGGCAGCCTGCAGTGAACTGTGGTTGAGCCGCTGCACTCCAGCCTGGAGACGAGCTAGACCTTACCTCAAAAAATAAAAACTTGAAATAAAATACACAGAGTGGTGTGGACAGTTCTGAGGGTTGGGGAGAAAACAAAAGAAGGAAAGTGCATTTTGAGGGGCGGAAAGCCCCTCAGTGCCCTGTGCCCCTGCTTTAAAGCAGCCCAACGGAAAGTGAGCATGAGTTGTGTTGGGCCCAGGACACCGGTTCCCTGCGTGGATGCAGCCTGGGCACAGCCCGACCTGCCCGGAGCTCTCACCACCGGCCTGGCCTGTGGGCTCCCGATGGCCTCAGCCCCCTTTGAGTGACAGCTTGAGCACAGCCTCCCCAGGGGACTCATTTGCCCTTGGATGGCCTGTTTTCTGTGGCTTCAGGAACACTGGGTCATTATGGAGCCTGCTGCACTCATCCCTGGATGTGAGACCTGTGTTGTCAGAGCCCGGGACTGTCCAAAGAGGATCCAGCCATGTTACTTCAAGACGCATGTTTTTAATCTTCAAAAGGTCCAATTTTAACCTTTCTCCCGCAAGCATTTTACGTACCTCTGATAGTCCCAGTGCAGACCCAGAGGTCCCCTGCAGGATTAATTTCATGTGCTTTGAGCCCACCTGAGGCAGAGCTTTCTGGTGGGCTTATCCTCACTCAAACTCGAACTGCAGCGGGCCAGGAATAGCCCTGCTTTCTGCAAGCAACAGCACCTGGAGTACCACAGGTGACACCCTTTGTCCGTGGACCTGGCCGTGGTCTCTGCGCCTTCTGTTCAGCAGGTCCGTCCTTTGCCCTCCAAGGCTGAGGTCCTGTACTTTCCAGGCTGTTTGGGGCAGCTATGATCAGGGTGCATGGCTTTCTCTATGAAAGCAAACGATGGCTCACGCCTGTAACCCCAGCACTTTGGGAGGCTGACACAGGTGGATCGCTTGAGGTCACAAGTTCAAGACCAGCCTGGCCAACACGGTGAAACCCCATCTCTACTAAAAATACAAAGATTAGCTGGGCGTGGTGGCGCGTGCCTGTAATCCCAGCTAGTCAGGAGGCTGAGGCAGGAGAATCGCTTGAACCTGGTAGGCAGAGGTTGCAGTGAGCCGAGATCACACCACTGCACTCTAGCCTGGGTGGCAGAGCGAGACTCCATCTAAAAACAAAAAAAGAAAAAACAAGAAAGCAAACGGCACTCTCAGTCTCTCGGGGAAGCCTCCGTCAACAAGTGTGAGTGTGTCCCATGGGACCCAGCGCAGGCACTTCGCTTCTCAGATGCCTCCCGCCCGTTTCCCGCCTCCACCCCATGCCCTGCAGGATGGCAGACTGCTGTGCCTATACTAGACGCAAACAATACCTTTATTTTAGCTTCTCAACTGAACACAGAAATGCTCTCTGAAGTGCAATGCGCCCCACAACATGTGGTCCGTGCACAGCGGCGCGGGCCTCGCCCTGTCCCTGAACCAGGGTGATGGGGGAGAGACCCTGGATGTCCAGAACCCAGCGGGTGGGCCTGCAGTGACAGGAGGGAGCCAGGGACGAGCAAATGGACCCAGCGGAAGAGGAGAGGAAGACGGCGTCAGGAGAGCTGGGCTTGTTCTAGGAAGTCTTTTTTACTTTTCACAGCATAGTGACTCATTTATGAAGAGGAAGTGAGTTCTGTTGAAATATACTTGAAATATTCTTTTAGGGGGAGAAAGCAGTTCTTCAGCAGCTTGGTGGGCCGCTGGGCGGGGAGCTTGGAGCTCTGTCGGTTCTGAGCCAGCAGGGACAATTCTTCTTCCGAAGGCAGGGCCGAGTGCCTGCTGCTGAGGGAAGGAAGGGGAGAGGGGAGGAGCGGGGAGCTGTGAGCTGGCACAGCGCCCAGGAGACAGGGCTGGGGGCGAAGCGCTGCTGGGGGTGAGGGGAACAGCCTGTCTCTCAGTTGTCCCAGGCGCCTAAGATTCCCAGAAGTCCCCACCCCATTCTGGGAGTTTTTTGCCTGGAGGTGGAGTGAGCAGCAGGGGACCAGGTGGATGCCCGTTTCCTGGCTCCACCGGGGGTGGGGGGGGTGCTGATCCCTTGGGAAGCAGGCTGGGGGTGACAGGCAGGGTCCCCAAGGATTAGAGTCTTGGACTCTGAGAAATCAGTCAAACTCCGTGTGAACAGCGAGCTAGAGGACGTCACCATCCCTGAGCAACACCCCCTAAGAAGAAAGGGCAAGACTCGGTGCAATGGTTGGCCGAGTCCTCGCATTCCTGGGGAGTCTATTCCAAACCCCTGGGTTCCCACGGCTGCCTGTGCTGGAAGCCCCAGCCCTGGGCACAGGAGGGGAGGTGGGGAGAGGAAGGGGTGCCCTGCCAGCCTGCTGTGTGAGGGGCCCTTGGGAAGAGGGGCTTTGGAGACTTGGCACTGACACCCCCTCTCACGCTCCCAGCCACAAGGAACATTCCTCAGCTTATTTTGGGGTGAAGGCTGCAAGTGAAGTGTCGGATAGTGTCCCCGCTTCCCGGCACCCTCCCTTGGGCAGTGAGGACTGTCTTTGACCATCCTGGGGGCGATGGTGGCCACCTATGCAAAATGATTTCCCCTTTCAGGACGGGGTGTGTCTCACATCACTGTGGAGACACCTGGAGCCTGGGAGGCAAACCTGTGGGAAGGAGCTGCCAGCCTCCTTCTGGGAACCTTGTGACCGCAGGACAGGGCGCAGTGCATGCAGCCCTCGGAAGAGCCCTGCAGGGCCTCGCTCAGAACGGGGGCCTGGGAAGCAGCAGCTGCCAGCCCACGGACCAACCCTGCAGGGGCTGCAGGTGTGGCCATTGGAGCGGAGGGAGGTGCCTTTGATGGAGCAGCCTTGCAACCCTGGGTCCCCCACATAACGCCCCCGGTGGGGCGCTGTCCTCTCGCTACTGTGTGGACACATGTGGCTAAGGAGCCTCCAGCCCAGACAGCCTGTAGCGCACACAGGTGTTGCTGCTGGGTCTGCCCCCACCTTCACCCCTGCTCACCCAGCCCCGCAGAGCTTGGCACGGCCCCTGCAAGGAGTGACGTGGTAGGCAGCAGGCCTAGGGTTAGGGGGAGGTTGTGGGGAGGCATGCAGGTGAGAGGGCTTCTCAGAGAAAGCATTTTGGCAAAGCTCTTCAGTTCGGCCCCACTCAAACTCAAATCCAGGGGGGCCAGGCCAGCAGGACCTGGGACACCACACCTTGGCAGGTGCCAAGCCACAGGATGATTGTGGCATGCTGGGGAGCTGGGAGAATGCCAGAACTGGAGAGGTGAGAGGAAGAAGTTTCCAGAACTCACTCAGGAAAAGAAATGACTCAGCGGAGCCAGAAGGCACTGGTTCCATGGGCATGCATGCTTCTCTGGGCACGCCAGGCAGGTGTGGAAGTGAGGGGATGGACGGACGGTTGGCTGTGGGGTGCAAGGTCTGGGCCATTCAGAAAGGCTGCCAAGGGGGGTGGGCAGCTGGGAGAGACCACGGGGGTGGCGGGAGGGTGTGTGGGGTGGGGCCATGTGTTCAAGGTGCCAAAAGGTGAGGAGGGCGGCCCAGGAGTGTGCTGTGGGGGTGCAAGCATGTGGGTGGGTGGGAGACTGATGCATGCATGCCTGTGTTTGTGAGCAGATGTGAGCATGTGTGGATGTACATGCCAGTCGTGTGTGTGCTGTGTGAGCATGTGACAGTGTGACTGAGCATATGTGTGACCATGGTGATGACTGTGTGTGAGCCGTGTGTGTGCTGTGTGTGACAGTGTGACTGAGCATGTGTGTGTAGATGTGAGCCATGACTGTGTGTGAGCCGTGAGTGTGTGTGCTGTGCGTGTGACAGTGTGACTGAGCATGTGTGTAGATGTGAGCCATGACTGTGTGTGTGAGCTGTGAGTGTGTGTGCTGTGTGAGCATGTGACAGTGTGACTGAGCATGTGTGTGACCATGGTGATGACTGTGTGTGAGCCGTGAGTGTGTGTGCTGTGTGTGACAGTGTGACTGAGCATGTGTGTGTAGATGTGAGCCATGACTGTGTGTGTGAGCCGTGAGTGTGTGTGCTGTGTGAGCGTGTGACAGTGTGACTGAGCATATGTGTGACCATGGTGATGACTGTGTGAGCCGTGAGTGTGTGTGCTGTGTGTGACAGTGTGACTGAGCATGTGTGTAGATATGAGCCATGACTGTGTGTGTGAGCCGTGTGTGTGCTGTGTGAGCGTGTGACAGTGTGAGCATGTGTGACCATCGTGATGACTGTGTGTGAGCCGAGTGTGCTGTGTGAGCGTGTGAGTGTGACTGAGCATGTGTGTAGATGTGAGCCATGACTGTGTGTGAGCTGTGAGTGTGTGTGCTGTGTGAGCATGTGACAGTGTGACTGAGCATGTGTGTGACCATGGTGATGACTGTGTGTGAGCCGTGAGTGTGTGTGCTGTGTGAGCGTGTGACAGTGTGACTGAGCATGTGTGATGACTGTGTGAGCCGTGTGTGTGCTGTGTGTGACAGTGTGACTGAGCATGTGTGTGGAGTGAGCCATGACTGTGTGTGTGCTGTGAGTGTGTGTGCTGTGCGTGTGACAGTGTGACTGAGCATGTGTGTGTAGATGTGAGCCATGACTGTGTGTGTGAGCTGTGAGTGTGTGTGCTGTGTGAGCATGTGACAGTGTGACTGAGCATGTGTGTGACCATGGTGATGACTGTGTGTGAGCCGTGAGTGTGTGTGCTGTGTGTGACAGTGTGACTGAGCATGTGTGTGTAGATGTGAGCCATGACTGTGTGTGTGAGCTGTGAGTGTGTGTGCTGTGTGAGCATGTGACAGTGTGACTGAGCATATGTGTGACCATGGTGATGACTGTGTGAGCCGTGTGTGTGCTGTGTGTGACAGTGTGACTGAGCATGTGTGTGTAGATATGAGCCATGACTGTGTGTGTGAGCCGTGTGTGTGCTGTGTGAGCGTGTGACAGTGTGAGCATGTGTGACCATCGTGATGACTGTGTGTGAGCCGAGTGTGCTGTGTGAGCGTGTGAGTGTGACTGAGCATGTGTGTAGATATGAGCCATGGACTGTGTGTGAGCTGTGCGTGTGTTATGCCTGTTGTGAGCAT